GGTTTTCTGCCATTAACAGGCAACCTGTCCTAAGGTGAGAGCGCTCACTGGCTGTACTGTGTCTGTTTACAAGTAGTGTTTGGACTACAAACCCCTTCCCATCTCCTTGTCTCTATTACATAAGGCACGGGGTTTGTGCAGTTTACAAAAGATGGCTTGGAAAACTGATACTTTTGATACTTGAGTACATAGGAAGTTACAAGGGTGTTGCTTTTCTATCAGGATCCACAAGAAATCTATAATTGTACAAAATGCACTTTGACCGGAAAAGAGAACCAATGCAGCCACCACCTCAAAGGACTTCTAAGCTGCTAAAGGGGACATTTTTTTATTTTGGGTTTAGATTTACTTGCATACTCTGTTCCTATGACACGTACTGTATGTGGGGGTTCTTTCACATGTAATATCTTAATATCTAATAATATCTATAATGCAATATCTTATACATGGTGAAAAATGTGTAGTGACATTCACTTACCACTTCTGCAGATGCCCTGTGAATGGATGTTGTGCATGTTACTCTTCTTTTGGTCCTGAAAATGGCCCTTGCTGCAATAGGTGAAACAAAAAACTGTATTTACCTGAGTTTTAGGGCCGGTTCACACCACAAAGTCCGCATTCCAGTGCGTTCAGCCTCTGGAACGCAAGCCGGCCGGCTCCCTGCGTTTCAGGGCAGGAGGGGGCATCGCGGTGCATTGAAGTGAATGCCACCGCAGACACGCCCACACCTGGAACGCAGGCACATTAGTGCCTGTGTTCCGCTCCAGTGCGATCTGCAAAAATAGTGCAACAGCAAAAAGTTTCCCAGCACACTCACCAGCCAGCATGCAAAAATACTTGTCCACCGCTGAGGTTTAGATACACGTCTTCTGCAGAAAATGTGGAAGCCGCACCAAGGCACCTCTATATAGTGCGGTCCTAACTCTAAACTATGTTTAGACGGATATCTAAACCTCTGTTTTTAAACTTAGCGGTGAGAAGTATTTTTGCATGCTGGCTGGTGAGTGTGCTGGGAAACTTTTTGCTGTTGTACCGTATCAAGCCCTTCCATGTGGACCTTGCTGTAAAGCTGGTAACGAATTGATGAGTGCGTTTGCTATTTGTTTTGCTTGACTGCAAAAAATAGTGCTTGTGGTATTTTTGCAGATCGCACTGGACCTGAACGCAGGCACTGATGTGCCTGCGTTCAGGGTGCCGGCAATCGCACTACGCAGGGCGTGGCTGTGGTGCCATTGACCAATACACCGTCTCCCCCTGCATGCGCGGAGCTGGCCGGTGTGTGCTCCAGAGGCCGAACGCATACTTTGTGGTGTGAACCAGCCCTTGTACTTGTTTTCTTAATTGGTTGATGCATTTTCAAGGACTTTATTCAATTGACAAATGGGGAGAATGTGGGCCAGGCCATCAAAATGCAGCTTGTAGGTCTTTTTTCCTCCTTTGCACCACTGTATTTTGGTGAGGTGGAAAATTCAGTAGTGATTGTAATGATTCCCTTCCTAGTTGAGGAATCCCTCAAACCTGCCAATTATCTAGGAGCTAGCCATGGAAGGAAGATTTCCGGTTTCCTGCCTGTAATTTATTCTTGGTTGGGTGCACTGTGTATCTGAGTGGTAACTAATTTTGGCATGTGGATATAGTCGTTGTTACCATGTTTATTATGCAGAGAGCCAGTTCAGACGACAGCTACTGTGTATCTGATCTAATTACTTGAACTTGTTGCTTGTGGAAGACATTTAATTCTAATGGTCTTGGAAAATGAAATGCATTCCACAAGCAATAAGTCTTGGTAACCAGATCAGGAAGTTTTTCTAATGTTTAGTTTTTGCTATTATATTTTATATAAACCCATTCTCTTTTCTGAATGAAGAGCGGGACAAAGAGAACCGTCATCGAAAACGTAGTCACAGTCGCTCTAGAAGCAGAGACAGAAAACGGCGAAGTCGCAGTAGAGAAAGACGAGGAAGAGAACAGCGCAGTGGATCTAGGGATCGGAGGAGGCGAAGGTAAATGAATGTGATGTAAATGTGTGTAAAATACACCAGGAAAACAATCGGCTCTCCCAATAAAAAAAAATACATTGAGTGGCGATATCCTTTTAATATCCTCCACTGCTTTTGTTTAGTCAATTAATTAAATTACTATTGCCCCTGGTGTTATCTCCTAGCTAGATTTTTTTTTTTTATGACTGACGTTAAACTCAAGCGTTAAATCTTAAAAATGCATTCAAGTAGCTATAATTATTACCAAATATGTATCTTATTCGTGTATCACTTGGCTGTAGATCCTCAAATCATCTCTGAATTGGTGCTGACACTGTCCTTCCTTCTGGAGGGGAGCTACTTTTGTTCCCCATGGTCCCTGTCTGTGTTGTAAAGTAAGCCTTCGTTCCAAGTTCACTCCTGTGATGTACTACAATCTCATGTTTTAGTTTACTAATTTGTATTCAGATTGTAGTTTATCACAGGGCTACAATCTTTGATGGACTACAGATTGTAGTCCTGTAGTCATCAATATACTTCAATATTCATTGAAGTAAATGTCTATGGGGTGTAATAAGTCAGAAGTGATGTGTTGGAGCGGTGACTACTTTACAACACTCCTATCCAGTATAAAGCCATGCGAGGTGACTGTTGCTTTTATGATCAATGCAGCATCATGCTTTTGAAGTAAATATCTATGGGGTGTAATAAGTCAGAAGTGATGAGATTGGAGCGGTGACTAGTTTACAACACGCACACAGGGACCATGGGGAACACAAGTAACAGCCCTCCAGAAGGAAGGACAGTGTCGGTACCAGCTCAGAGATTTGATTATCTACAGCTGAGTGATACACATTGCCTACTTTTTACAAAAAAATTAGTTAAGGTACCTGAAAGCATTTTTAAGATATAGCTCCTGAGTGTAGTATCACTTTAACTGGTGGTATATCATACGTAGTAGTATATACAGCACATGTTCACTATTAATACTACAGTATACACTAGTGTTTTAAATCTACTGTGATTTAGTCATGTATATTTGTGGTTCCTTCTAAAGCATGTGATTTTTTTCTCTATAGATTACTAAATAATACTGTCGTCCCTCCGTCCCCCCCCCTTTCGTTTGGTAGCCGGTCCCCCAGGCATGAAAAGAAAAAGAAGATTCGCAAATATTGGGATGTACCTCCTCCAGGTTTTGAGCATATCACTCCTATCCAGTATAAAGCCATGCAAGGTGACTGTTGCTTTTATGATCAATGCAGCATCATGCTTTTCATGGAAGTAACTATCTAATGGGGTGTAATAAGTCAGTGATGTGTTGATTGTGCTTGTGGTCCCAGGTATCTGCAATCAGCAAGACATCAACAGATCTGGATGGTCAAATAGTGTAGTGATGTCATTGAATTTGTTTTCTTTCTGTACATGTTTAGGCACCAAGACTGATAAAATAAAAAATACCCGTACGAAGTAAATTGTGTTTGGGTTTAACGGGGAAATAAGTTTACTTGTGTGCACACTACAACAATAGTTGCAGCAATTTACACACTAGCAAAAAATTTTAACCTCCGTTTAGCACCTCCTAGCTTTAGAAATGTGTAATCATGGGTTATTTGCCAGCTATTGGTTCTATTGATTATAGATGCATTGTCCAGGCTGTGAAAAAAAAAGTAAAGATGTGACATGTTTGCAAGAATGGATGACCGAAATATTTCAGCAGCTCACAGTGCATGAGCCATATTGTCTTATACAAAAGTGGCCTCTTACCCCAACGTTTGCTGTGCTTGTACTACTGCCGTTTTTATTGTGGTCTGTACAATGCACCTCTGGGGGAAAATGTGGCATCTTGACAGCGCAACAATGCTCCATCAGTGGTGACATGGGGAAATATATGTAAAGGTCAGTTTGGATTCACAGCCAGGGTCTAAGCTTTTCATATCTGCAGAATAAGAGTTTAATTGCAATGTGCTAGAGATAAGCTTGCCTACTTGCATCATGTCACACTGGACAGTCATGTGTCTATAAATAGTTCATGACATTTAATCCACGTGTTCATTCTGTATTTCCTGTGAATACATCTATCAAATGCTCTTTAACTTGAGACATGTATATCATTAATCTACCAACTCTTTATATGATTTGTTATCCTTTTTTGCATTCTATTAGTATTGTGTTTGGCACACAAGCTCATCACAAAGCTCTGTTGCTAAATTAACAGATTATTTTGGCAAACTGCAGCCTTTAACAGGGAAGAGAATTGTATATGGTCTTAAAGAACCAAACACTATGCCCAGTTAGTAATAATGAGCATGGCTTCTACACATAGTGAAGGGTGGGTAGCAGTGCATATGGTTGTGGCTTGCAGCACTTCAGTAAGAGAAGGTGGTATTCAACAAATCTTATTTTCAGGATCTGAGTTTAGCAGTTGTGGTGAAGCTAAAAATTGCTGTTGTACGAATCTCGAACTAAGATTTTTGGAGATGGTCACATCCTGAGTGAAGTAAATTTATATGTAATGTCTTTATTAAACTCAAGTTGTAGCATTTAGCATAATTTGATTATAAATTGATACTCAGCAGGCATGTGTATAAATCGAAGTAAAACTTTAAAGATGTGACTTAGTTGGTGTCATCCTAATGGAGAACCAGAGTCTTTGTACTGTTGTAAGAGGCATGGACACTAGATATTTTTTAGGAATGCTGTGCTACAGTGGCTGCACAAAGATGCTGACCAGGATAGTTATTCACACATTAATTTCTATACCCAAGAACCGTACATCCAGCATTTGAGGCTGTCGGACGGTGTGTACTGTGGTTCCACTTGTGGGCTGATTAATCACAGTATAGTGATGTAGCAGCTGGTGGGAGGAACCCCGTAATGGGAGACAATAGGGCAGGTAGGAGGAAGTGTTGAATAGCCGTGGCCCAGTAACTGCAAGAGCAAAGACTTTACTTGCTGCCCACCGGAATGGTGGGTGGTGGCAGAGTTATTAAAGTGGTAACACATTATGGCAGACTGACCTTGCAGGTTATCTCCAACACTGCAAAATCTGCGCTCTCTGCCATTCCATCTTTTTTAGTTTTCTTCTGGGTTTGGTGTCTTTGGCCTCTTGATTGCTTGGCCTGGGAGTTGCTTTATCTTGGCAAAGAACCTTACCGACGCTGTGTGGCTAAGTGTACAAAATTGCTGACGTACAGAGTCTCTTTCATAAAAATCTTTCTTGCCAGGTTTTTTTTTTTTGTTTAATGTATCATAACTTCTGCTATAGTCGGGACTTGTCTTGCCTGCTGGATTGCTTCTACCTGGTTACAAAAAAATCATTCTAGCACCATTAGTTGACTGCAATGCTAATCACCCAGCACTCTGCTTATGTGATCCAACAGGGCGTATAGGTCCCTGAAGCAGCATTGCCTGGCAGCTTTGTTTCATCATTATGAGGGACTCGTTCGTAAAGAGTGAAAAACTAAAAAAAACTGCTGGTTATAAGCTGGATTCGTGCCTGTCCTGGTGCAGCCCTTAACACAATGCACATTAATGTGCATAGATTAGAAACAGTGTGAATGGGCCCCAGGTTAGTGTTGTTGCCACAGTTAGTGTTAAGGCAAGGGATGACAAAATTTAATGGGTGTCATAATTTATTTAACTGTTGGTTACAATTGTTTGTTCATGTTAAGCTGCATTGTGAACATTGACTGTTTAATTTTTTTAATTTTTTCCCCCCACAAAATAAACAGCTGCTGGTCAGATTCCTGCTACAGCTCTCCTTCCAACAATGACACCTGATGGACTTGCTGTTACACCCACACCTGTGCCTGTTGTGGGAAGCCAGATGACCAGACAGGCCCGTCGACTTTATGTTGGAAATATTCCCTTCGGAATAACAGAGGTACTGAGGCTTACTGCGCTAACACCTATAGTTCCACAAACGTTCCCTTTTATCAGTTTCAATTGGCCTTTTTACTTTAGCTAGCCTTGCGTACAGGCTATCCACTCTTAACATTCCCTGGTGGACCTCTACCAGTACTACATAAACTAATCACTTTTCTGCTCTTTACTGGAGCGGAAAATTGCTACTCAAATGGGTAAGCGCTGCTTGGTTTCGTGGAAGGTGTTTTTAATGGCTGCCTGCACCTACACTATTAGCAGTAGTTTAATAGGTAAAGTATTCCTGCACAAGCTGTTATGTAGCTCTACAAGTCTCCTAGTGGGTTTGTTTTAAAACATCACTTGAGTCGTGAAGGAAAATGAGATCGTCTAATAGATCCTGGATTGGACAGACCAGATCATTTTTCATTATAAGTTGGTATCGACCTGCAGTGAAAAAACTCAAAACATTGATGTAAGTATTTATGAAGAATGTGTAATGTGGTGGGACCCCAAAGGGAATGCGGCTACATTAGTTTGTACATTTTTTTTTTTTTTGTACTAATAGAATAGTACCACTCTTACGGTGCACCTTTTATTTTTGTGGATCTGCAACAGATCTTTTTAATGCCAGTTACATTGTCTAACCATGTACTAAGCATTTGGAAAAATGTTTACGTTCTCTGCAAGAAGGGACTGCTTGCAATTAAGCTAAAGGTTTCCTCGTTTTATTTGCAAAATATGGGTCTCAGTGTTTACTCTTTTTACTTCTGGAAATGGTAACATTATTACAGACTTCAAAGGGAAGATGTACCAAATGGCCCTGCAATCTTGTAATGCCTTTGTTTCAAAGTTTGACCAAATAACGCTGCAGTTAGTTTGGTGTTTGCAGAAATTGGTTGTTAGTTTATAAAACCTTTTTTTCCTTACGCAAACTTTGAATAAAACCCTTTTCTATTTTGAAAAAACAAGATCAAAAAGTTGTTTCCATTTCTTTTTAAAGTGAAAATTGTGGGGCTGAAATCCCTTCGTAGCAATATAAGTTTGCTACCATCATGCAAGGCAAGTAGGACATTCTAGATCTTACAAATGCTATCTACTTTTATTGTCCGCAAATAAATCGGACGACCTATCTTTTATGTTTTTCCCTTACAGGAAGCTATGATGGACTTCTTTAATGCTCAAATGCGCCTAGGTGGATTAACACAAGCACCTGGAAACCCTGTCCTTGCAGTGCAGATCAACCAAGACAAAAACTTTGCTTTCTTGGAGGTAAGTGTCTGCGTCTATACTAAGGGGGGAAAAAAAGTTGCGCTCCCACCCAGAATTGTAAGTGTTAAATTAAAATGTGTCATCTGTTTCTTTTCTGTGCAGTTCCGATCTGTTGATGAGACCACACAGGCAATGGCATTCGACGGCATAATTTTCCAAGGCCAGTCATTAAAGATCCGCCGTCCCCATGATTACCAACCTTTGCCTGGCATGTCTGAAAATCCGTCTGTGTATGTGCCAGGTAAGACTTGGTGTTGCTTGTCTGTAATAAAAATCTTGTACTAGTGTGAACATTTGTTACATCTCAATTTCCCCATTTTTAATCTGTTAAACTTCAGTTTGCTTTAGCACAGTACTTCTGTAGCAGTCAATGATCATTTGGTTAATTTTTAGGCATTGAGCAATAACAGTGTTTATTTTCTGCCAGAGCACAGGGAATATTTTATTACAGAGTTTGCAGTTCCTTCCAGGACTTCTGAACTGACAAAAGCCATAGCTGGAAAATGTCCTTTGTGTAAAAGAGAATGGATCTTGCGCCATATTAAGTGGGTTTTTTCTCTCCAAATATCATTCCTTTTTTAACAGGGGTGGTATCCACCGTTGTTCCAGACTCTGCACACAAGCTATTCATTGGAGGTTTACCCAACTATCTGAATGATGACCAGGTAACCATGGCGTCATTAAGCCTATGGGTTGGTAATTTCAGGCTTACTTATTTGTTGTTTTTCATACGTGGGAATGTTTTGAATTTGGCGGCCTTTTCCCAATCACTGTGGTCCAGATCTGAAGGTGACCACTTTAATGATAAGTGTTCCATCTCATCTGACTTCTCTATTGGCTTGCTATTATAGAAGTCATAAAGCAGAATGGACACAACTCCACAGGAGTTACCTGCATAACTAGTAAACAGTAGCAATATGCCACATTTTATGTACTGTTTCTACTGTTTGTTAAGGGTTTGGGTTTCCAGTGCAAAAAGGGGCACTTCATTTCCAAATTTTTTTGGGTGGGTGTGTAAACTAATGATTTATTTTTGCAGCAAAGTATTTAAAATGTGCATTTAATAAGGCTCCGTTCACATATTAGAAGTTTTTGCACTAAAAATATTTCCAATGTGTTCATAAAACGTGGTGGCCCCCTTAGTATGAAAACGCATGCAAAAAAGTCCAGGCGCGGTTTACTGGGCGGATTCCTTACGGTTCTGCTATTATCGCAAACGCGCGGAATCTGTATGCATATTTGCGCTTTTTCATGCCACGTGGAAAATGCTACTGCTATATGTGAATGGAGCCTAAGATGTAGCTAGTTACAAAATGTAAGTGTATTTTAACTCCAATCTTTTTCTCAGTATGTCATCAGGTCTCACTGTATACAGTTGCCTTTAGAAAATCGTTTTTGTGGATCTTTTGCAGAGTTTCTTACCTGGAGATCCTGCCAGTAACAGCACTTCCTATTGTGGGCTGACAGTGCTAAGCCGCTGTTGCCAGGCTTCTGTGTAGAAGCCTTTGGTTAGCTGTAAGGTGGTCTGTTAGACAGCCTCACCTCCAACTGAACGATTGCAAGCTGGTAGGATATCCAGGTAAAAAAATATTTGCACCATCTTCCCAAGAAAGGTCTGCTTAATAAGGTTATACAGTGATGCATGATTCCAAACCTACTGGAAAATAGATTTAGTATTATCATGCACTTTAATGGCTCTGGTCATTTCCCAGTCCACCATGCAGTAGTAATATTAGCCACAACATGCAGTAGTAATATTAGCCATATACACGTGCTGCTTGTTTACCAATGGGATGTCCGTGTCTCTTGTAAGCAATGTTTGCAGAATTGTATATATTTTTTTCTGATGCCTACCATTTAACACTTCCTAACTTGCTTCTAGCACTAAGTATTTTATTATAGTATAATTCATAGAGCCAGCTTTGAGCACTCATATAATACAAGTTATTCAGGTCTGAGCAGAATGGGGACGGTTTGTCCTTGATCTGCTTGGATAGAGTGCGGGAGGGGCATCAGTGGTCTAATAGACCCCTGATGCCTCCATAAAGGGCATCTGTCACTTCATATATGCTATCACATGGGGAGCTTATCATACCTTTGTGATAGCAATAGTTAAGTGGAAAAAACATAACTTTTTTGGGTTTAAAAAAAAAATTTAAGTATAAGCCCCCCACGCACATATGAACAGAAAAATAGGCTTTGGGTGTGCATGAATACAAAAACAATTGCGCCACACTTGAGTATCCCTGCACACATCGGAGTGAGAGGAATAATTCCAGGGCCATCTACAATTAACTCTTAATTTGATGAGCTGTAGAGGTTTTTTGACTTATTTGGTGTCTGTTTACTTGACACAGCTCTTATCTGTAAAGAAAATTTTAAAAATTCTATTTTTTGGGTTCACAAAGTGCATTTTCATGTGAAAAATGAAGAGAAGAAAAAAAGTTCCAGCAGAAATAAGTTACCTGCGCCCAGATAATGCACACAAGCGGTAAAATAGGATTTGTGTACTCTCCATAAAATCCCTTTCTTGGAGGTCATTGAGTTATATGAAATCTAATTTTTGGGTTATACTGCCGTCTGCAGAAGGATTAGACGTTGGCAAACAAACTGAAGGCTAGCCTTGGATAACCTCTCACTCTACCAGCATTCCGTTTTGTAGCAAAGCAGAACTGAGAGCATAATCTTTAACAGAAGGGTGGGGCTTTTGTCCCTCAACAGACTGCAAAAAGAGTATTTTACAGTACATAAAGAAAATTGGAGTTTTGTGCTCACTGTAAAATACTTTTTTTGCAGTCAGTTGAGGGACACGGCTAGTATATCCTTCAGGACGTCTAAATTCAGTCCAACTGATGGACAGACAGTTTTATCCTGGGCTGGGTACAGCAAACAAATGTGGACAGGTCCAGGAAAAACAGGGGACTGCCTGCAGTTTGAAGAGCTGCTTAAAGTACCGTATACCCAAAACTAGCAGCATATATGAGCTTCACCATCCAGCTGCTAGAACTTAAGGACACTACAAGACGAGCAGGTGGCCGGCTCACAAATCAGAAAACCCTAGCCAGAGAAATGGGAGATGAAAGGCAGAGACTAGGTTGGGTAAGAAGTTCTAGGTCTCAACACCACCTTGTCCCTATCTAGCAGATTCCTGACAGAATAAGGCTGCCATTTCAGTCACCTTACAAAGCTAATGGCTGCAGGGAATAGCTTTTTGTGGGTGAGAGTAGAAAGTATCATCTCTGTAATGGGTTATGACCATTTTTTTTTGGAGTGCAGATAAAACCAGCTTCAGATGCCATGACGAGGAAATAAACATGGAGAGCTACATGGGAAAACTTCCCTGTACAAAAGTCTAAATGCGTAAGGATCCAATGGTTTCTGAAACAAGACAGCAAGAGCAGAAACCTTACGTTTGATAGTGCTGACAGCCCAACACCAGTCCAGACCCAACTATAGGAAAGAGAATTTGTCCCACAGTAGGTTTACTAAGATGGAAGCCCTGATACTCTCACCAGGGAAGTATGCCTGATTGACCCGGTGGGGGGTGGGAGGGAGTAGCCTGCCTTGCTTTTTAAAATCGTTCGTTCCAAATTCAGAAAAGTTTCTGCTAACACCTAGGCATCAGCAGGATGGCAAATCTGTGTTGTCTGTCTCAAGATCGGAGCCCACAGTGTGTCCACTAGGAGTCTTATCTGGTTGGAGTACTGCATCTGCCTGGGTCAATCCAAAGCACAGTATCGCCAGAATTCCTCAATCTTGATCTGCGCAACAAGACATAGGTCCTGGTGGAGGAAAGGCCTAAAAATCAAGGTGTACTGATTCCATGGGGCTTTCAGGGCATCCTTTTCTTAAGATGCCTTACAATTATCTGCAGATTTTTGTCTGCAATCGCATTTCCGTCCAAAAATCTGCCAGTTGATGTGAAGTGCACGACCACAATTACTGTAAAACTGGCAGATTTTTGCCTTTCAAGCAGGCTAGAAAATTTTGTCTAGTTGGATGAAAATCGACGGGTTAGTGACGTTTTTGTACAACAAAAAATCTCAAGATGAAAACTGCACATGCTCATACAAATCTGTTCTTTCGATCGAAAATCGGCCAGTTAGTGGTGCTGACGAACATTAATTTCTCACTACATTGGTCTGTGCATGATGGGCTGTTTGAACGAGGGTGAGACGTCTGGACAAAAAAATGTTGTACAATGGTTGTAAGGTGTATGGCTACCTTTTTTTAGGCTAGAGGATTTCTGTACCTGTAGACAAATCTGTCCAGTTTCTACCTGCCAATTTTATACACCTGATATGTAAACAGCTGACATGGCTGGAAGATTACGTTCCGCTCTACCACTCTTGCCTTAGCGTGACTTCTGGTTCCTCCCTGACGGTTGATGTTTGCCACTACTGTGGTCTCTGACTGGACTATCCTAATGGAGGGTCATCAAATTCAATTTTGCAGATATGGCCCAATTTTCTGAGGTTCAGACTTGCTCAGGAGACAAGATTCATCTAAGTTTCCTGCTTTTGAAAGGCTACTCCGGACTCCTCCCTGCTTAACAGACTGGCATCTGTTGTGCTGATTTTTCAGAAGATGGAATGAAGGCCTTGCCAGATTACTTGGCTACCAAGACGGTGACAACCTGGTCCTTGGTGCCAACAGGTCTGTCCAGGGACTGGGCTGACTTGTCAGATGACGGAACGTTGTGTGTAGAGGTCTGGAGGGAAACTGGGCAAATGAGACTGCTTGCCAAGTCATGGGTTTGATGGTAGCCTTGTACAAGGCATAGTTGCGATAACTTCTAGACTGGAGAGCACAAACCTGGGATTGGAGAGTTTGACGTTTCTTCTGAGAGACCAACTGAGCTGTGACTAGGACTGGACACTAGATACTCCAAATTGTGGATTGGTTCCAACAACAATTTCTGAAGCTCAACATCCAACTAAGTCCTTGTAATATCTGGATGGTCAAGGCCACATTGTATGACAGCACTGACTTCCCCCTCAGCAGGAGGTCTTCTAAGTGTCCTACAGAGGAAGTCACAAGAACGTAGCAGGGCTAGTACAGAGGTCACCAACTTGGTGAACACCCGAAGAGCATATGAATGGCAGGGCTTCAAACGGAGTGCAGGAAACTGTAAAGATGGAGACCTTAATGTACGCATAATTGGATGTCCACAGAGGTCAGTCTCCCTGGTGAAGGAAGGCAATGATGGACCTGGTGGATTCCATGTAAAATTTCTCAACCTGAATGCAGGCAATCTGTGCTTTGAGATCCAAGATGGGGCTGATGCCCCATCTTAGATCTCAAATCTTTGGTTTTGGGAATACTGAACAGGTTGGAGTAAAACCTCTGAAACTGTTCTGCCACAGGCATTGGGACAATGTCATTTTGATCCAAAAGACTCCATGAAGATCTGCAAATTTGTGCAGCGGTAAAGGAAGATTTGGAGGTAAGAAACCAAGGGTGAAGGAATTGAGACTAGCTTGTAGCCCCTGGGAATCACCCATGCACCTAAGCATCTGGGATGCAAGCTGTCCAAGTGTTTGCAAAGGTAAGCAAGTGTCCCTTAACTTTGGAAAGTGGGGGGGGGGGGGGGGAGTTTACCTTCATACAGAGAAAAGTTTGACTGGCTTTGAGCCTCAGGCCCTTCGGGCGGACTGAAGGCCAAGTTAAGTAGGTCTGGACATGGGTTTTTCAGGAATGGTGTTGCAAACTATTTTTCTTACCGTCCAACCAGGAATAAATCTTCCGAATCTATGCTCTGGCCTTAGATTGCCAAAGGATGGGCGGATTCTAGCTGACCATCACAACTGACATCTCCGCAAGGGCATAGTCCTCCTAATATATTTTGTATTTCCCATAACGTCTTCCAGGACAGCATCACGAGATGGAATCTCCTCATGCTGTCCTGGAAGACTAATGGAAATAGAGTTACCGGTAAGCCCTAACTCTGAATTTTTATTAATGGCGTTTAGACCAGTTGGCCATAGTTTGCAACGATGGGGTGCAGGGCCTGCCAGTAAGCAGAGTTCTGCAGAGGGTTTAGTCATAGTTTTAGTTCTTTAAAGAAAGGTGCATTCTCTGCCAGTATGCCAGTACGCCGGTTTAGGCAGGACACTGCTGGACCCTCATTTGGGGGGTAAACCACTTGGTACAAAATCTTCCCCAAATGTTCTTTTGTGGCCTTTTAGGGCTTTAAAAGAAACGGCACTGGTAGAAGCAACAGGCTGATCCTCTCATTTGAGTGGCTCACTACATTGATAAGGGGAAAAACAGTCTTCTAACCTTTTTGTAGTTATAGCAGTAGACGGTGACTCCTCAGGGGCAAGCCTATTGCTCAAACTGGAAAGAGTTTAGAGTCTCTTCAGCTGATGGCTCAGAAGCTGCCAAGTAGGTAAATCATACATTTTGCAGCTGAGTGGAGGTAAGACGGTCTAAATGTTGCGTACATGGCCATAGCCTCAAGTACCCAATTAAAACTGGGACCGAATGTAGTAGATGATGGCTTCATTCTTAAGGGCACACAGAGACCTAAGTAAAAGTTGCTCCTGATGCTTGGCTCAACCAGTCTACTATCTTTAGAAGCAGCACAGTTACTGAGGCAATGGTAGTGGCTCTGGACCTGGAAAGCGCTTTGTGGCTAACTTTTACTAGAATAGAGTTTGAGAATCGCCCTAAGTGGAACCCGGTGCCCAAAGGTCACTTCCAAGCTATCCCCGCTGTGTCCAGCTGAGGTGCTCCAGTACTTAGGCAGAGGACGGCTGCATCGACAAGCTGCAGTTGGGAGTTGCTCGCTCTAGCAGTGATTTGTGGAGTCTTGATGAAAGAAAAAGTAACGTACTAGCAAAAATGAAGGCACCAAAGATGCCCGTCCTCCTAAGGCGATGGCAAAACTGAGGCATGCTTGTAGTTGGAGTGGTTATTCTTAGGTTAGACTTCCTGCATCTCTCAATGGACAAGAAATAAAAACACTTTAGAACAAGCCTTCATTAATCTGAGGGGAATTTATCAAAACGGGAGCTTTCCTCATTGGGCAACTGCCATCAAGAAACTGATATACCAAGGCTACATACCTGCACCTCAATTTTGCAACTTCTCTCTTTTGGTGTATGTAAACCTAAATGGTTTTACTAACTTTGATAGGATAGGGAAATGTTGGGCTACATTTACACTAGGTGTGAATGTGCGTTTAGTGATTCCTGCCACCCATTCAAGTTAACAATTGGGTGACAGCGGCTGCATTTGAAGTTGGCATGCCGCCAGCACTCCGCATGTAACTGTGATACAATTGCATGCAGTTAGGAGTAGATCACTATCCCTGGATGCATAACGCAGGTTTGCAAAAGGGTTGCGTTAACTTTCTAGATATGATTTTCTGTAGTCTATGAATTTTTTATTTTTTCCTTTGTTGCTCTTGCATCTTGAAATCAGAACATGAAGCTTTGTCACTTTGGGAAAAGGTCATTTTTGCATTATGAATGTAAAAGATATTTGAGCTAGGCGTTTTTCTTTCTCGCTTTTAATCCTTTAAATACATTCATGGGATTTCTCTACTGGACGTATACATCTTTTTGTGGTCTTGTAGACTCATTTGTCTCAGAAGCATTTTTCTCCACTTTCATTTAGCCGGTTTGGTAGTATTCTTTACCCCCTTAGCAGGTGCCTAATGTTTACTGTGTGTATATATATAATGCATTTATACCTGAATGTAAACGATGGGCCTTTACCATTCGTATACAAGTTTTTTTTTTTTGTTTCAGGATTTTCAGTTTTACTTTAATACAGGTTTTGTGCTTAAAATTTTTAAAGTGTACCTATATTGGGAATGGGGGGAGGTCATCAGTTAAACCTAGTGCTGAATGGGCACTGCCAAGTTCCAGAACTTCTGGTATTGGTGAAGTGCTAATTCCAACTGTCTGACATTCTGTACTTAGGCTTTTACAAAAAGTAGATGTGTGCTCTCTAATTGGTTTTGTTTGGAATTGCAATTGGTGTGTCTTTTTGAACCAGTACAAATTATTATTTTTTTTTTTTCTCCTGTACAGTTTAC